TTCTTGGCGATCGCATAGTGTGTTACCAACTGTTTTCTTGGCGATCGCATAGTTTGTTACCAACTGTTTTCTTGGCGATCGCATAGTGTGTTACCAACTGTTTTCTTGGCGATCGCATAGTGTGTTACCAACTGTTTTCTTGGCGATCGCATAGTGTGTTACCAACTGTTTTCTTGGCGATCGCATAGTGTGTTACCAACTGTTTTCTTGGCGATCGCATAGTGTGTTACCAACTGTTTTCTTGGCGATCGCATAGTGTGTTACCAACTGTTTTCTTGGCGATCGCATAGTGTGTTACCAACTGTTTTCTTGGCGATCGCATAGTGTGTTACCAACTGTTTTCTTGGCGATCGCATAGTGTGTTACCAAGTGTTTTCTTGGCGATCGCATAGTGTGTTACCAACTGTTTTCTTGGTGATCGCATAGTGTGTTACCAACTGTTTTCTTGGTGATCGCATAGTGTGTTACCAACTGTTTTCTTGGCGATCGCATAGTGTGTTACCAACTGTTTTCTTGGCGATCGCATAGTGTGTTACCAACTGTTTTCTTGGCGATCGCATAGTGTGTTACCAACTGTTTTCTTGGTGATCGCATAGTGTGTTACCAACTGTTTTCTTGGTGATCGCATAGTGTGTTACCAACTGTTTTCTTGGTGATCGCATAGTGTGTTACCAACTGTTTTCTTGGTGATCGCATAGTGTGTTACCAACTGTTTTCTTGGTGATCGCATAGTGTGTTACCAACAGTTTTCTTGGCGATCGCATAGTGTGTTACCAACTGTTTTCTTGGCGATCGCATAGTGTGTTACCAACTGTTTTCTTGGCGATCGCATAGTGTGTTACCAACTGTTTTCTTGGCGATCGCATAGTGTGTTACCAAGTGTTTTCTTGGCGATCGCATAGTGTGTTACCAACTGTTTTCTTGGCGATCGCATAGTGTGTTGCCAACTGTTTTCTTGGTGATCGCATAGTGTGTTACCAACTGTTTTCTTGGCGATCGCATAGTGTGTTACCAACTGTTTTCTTGGCGATCGCATAGTGTGTTACCAACTGTTTTCTTGGCGATCGCATAGTGTGTTACCAACTGTTTTCTTGGTGATCGCATAGTGTGTTACCAACAGTTTTCCTTGGTGATCGCATAGTGTGTTGCCAATTGTTTTCTTGGTGATCGCTTGCTTGCTGACAGCGCTCCCCCCCCCCCCCCCCCCCCCCCCGTCCCGGCAGTGATGTTGGCGACGCGCCCTGGCGCTGCTGGACATCAACACGTCGCTCTCGGTGCTGCGCGACAGCTCCGAGAGGCTGCAGAGGAACTTGACGACCGTGCGCAGCGGCCTTAACGCGACCCTCAATGACCCCGTGTGCCAGAGGGCACAGCGGTGCGTCGCCATGTCGGGCAGCTCGTCCTGCTGAATATCCACGCCGACTTCAGCTTGGTACGTGTGAGTGTGTGTGTAGTAGGTTCAAAGAGACTTGGACGACCGTAGTCGGAGGCACACTTATTTATTAACCGTTTCACTCAGCACAGACCAAGGTATACAACACTCGGAGGGGTATCGGCCCCTTCACCCGTCTAACAGGGAGCTCCCACTATCTCTATCTCCACTCGAGAGCTAGGGGAGGCTAGCTGACCTAGCTCTGGTTAAGCTGGGATCACGGCACCCTGAGTCCCCAGACCAGCTCTTACAAGAGCATCGGCTCTGGGCTCTCGGGGCCACGCCACTGGCTTGCCCTGGTCGGTCCTTAGAAGGACAGCGATCCAGGGGAGTCCCAGGGCCTATCTAGCCGGTCTTCCTTCTTCACTGATTTAAGCTAAACACTGAACCCCGAGCCCACCGGCTCACCGCCTTATATAGCAACTCCTCCCCGAGGGGTGGGGCCGTGGGGGATCACAGCGCCGTTTCACAGCCCCCCAGGGCTAAACGATGCGGACGTGGATGTAAGCATCCTTCCGCGTGCGGGCATAACCACACCCCTGGTGTGTTTGTTCGCCCTCCCGTAACACCTTTACATGTGTACGTGGAACTTATGTTGCATCGTATGTAGCCAACCGCCGTAATCAACGGTGCAGGGGAAGAACGGCAAACTGGTGAGCGCCAGCGTGGCTACTCACGCTGCCTCTAATCCACAGCAATCGCTGAGGCGGTCGAGGGTTGGTGGATGACAAGCACGTTCGGGAAACTCTCAAATCTGCCGGGCTGCGAGGTCGCCTTCTCCTTGTTTTGCCAGCAAGTTGCTTCATTTGCATCTGTATTCCATCTGTACGGGGATTGAGTGTTACCCCCCTCCATCCGTGCATTTGAATTGTCTCCGAGGGCTCTGGTTTCCTGTATAAGTACTCAATGGAGATGGTCAAACATCCTCATATAGAGCCATAGAGGCTTGAGCAATTTTGGTGCTGGTTCTGGCTGCCTTCCTGCTTGTCTGTGATTTCCCATGCCTCTGAATCAAACGCCAACCTCCTGGGTTTAAAGTGTTAGATATACGCACGAGATGTAACCAATTCCCTCTCCTCATGAGGGGAGGAACTTCTGTGCAAAGAGGCTGGATGTTGTCTTTCCATGGCAGCCTTAACTGTAGATTACATGAATTTGTGTTCTTCCAGATACAAAAAGACCAAGCTTAACCGCTGTAAATGTCTAATTAATGCCTGAGCTTCGAAACAATGTTTGTACAATGAGCACTGAAGAACAGGTTTACTGAACATTGAAAGGGGACCGGGTTTGGTTTAGTTTGACAGTGCGCAGAGCTGATGGTGGTGTTTACCTTCCTGTGCAGCCGCAGGACGTGTCCCGGGAATTGGAGCAGGTGAAGAGACTGCTAGACACCAACTTTACAGCGATGGTTGACAAGGTATGTACTGTTTGTTTTTTTTAAATCTTGTAATGCACAAATTTCATACATTAAACATTATACATTTCTACGTGACTTTACCGAAAGAACCAAGGAGATGAATCCCTGCAGTCACGAAAGCTTTAAATCGAAATTTAACCGCCACTACGGGGTGGGATTCCACAAAACTTTAAGATCCTTCAACAAGCTCCGGGATAAGAAGGCTCAGCTAATCGAGTCTCTCAACTTTATGAAGAGATGCCGCGACTCTAAGGTAATACCAATCGCATTTACACTAACCTCTGCTGCTGTAACTTCTTCTAATGCTAAACGAATTCTGTCTAGAACTAGCTTAGCTCTTATCTCAGAGAAAATCAGACTTACGCGCACCGATCTTGATCAGTTAGACAAGACACTCTACAAATCACACTTATCTTTGACTGCAACAATGTCCACATCAGATTGGGAACATGTAGACAAAATGACTGCCTCTTCAGCTGCCGCTATGTCGACCAAATGTAAGGACAACTTGATTTCCAAATTCAACCGGCTCTCAAACAAGAGACCGGACCCACACACTGAAAAGCTAGACGTTAACAAAGTCGTAATTAATCGCAGTAACAGTTCTCTTTCTGAAATAAAAAAAATAAAAAATTCTACGTGAAGATTTTCAAAAATTCTGTTCGCTAGTGTGTTTGAGACTTAAAAGTTAAGAGTATTGGTGACACAAAGTAAATCGTAAAACTACTACATCAATGTTACATTTTTCGGTGTTATTTTTCTCCCCTGCGCAGGGTTATGCAGCTTTTAATGGCACGCCTGAAATCATCGCACAGCAAACGAGAAACATTGCTGCAGGTAAGATAACAAAGCGGTGATGAAGTATAATAACACGCAGATGGTTTTCTCAAACTTATATTCTTGGTTCTTTCGGTGAAGTCACGTAGAAGGGAAATAATAAAATAATAAAAATATAAAACAATACAATTCTCAGGACGTTTCGACTGCAACACAAGCAATCATCATCAGGTGTGAAATCCACAGCAAGAAAATTTGAAAAAAGTGGCGTTATTTTCTTTAACGTCAGCACCACGGATTATCAAATCCTTCCAATGATTGCTAAGCGAGAATCCATCTTCTCGGTGAAATCAAAATTTCTCAAACTTGTTCGCACATTATTGATGAGCAGGGAATTGACACTGCTGTGTGTAATACAAACATTTATTTGTTCCTATTGCTTTTGCGCGGATCGTTAAACATTGTCTTTTCAGCGAAGTTGCGTAAGTGCGGTAAACGTAGCATGCATGGAAACATCCTGTGATGATAAGAGGTTGGTGGAACCGTGTCTAGTTCCGCCGTAGCATGGTTAGTTAAGTGCTCACCACCCGAGGGTATGTTGTGTTAATAGCCCTGGAGGATGTTGTGCAAATAGTTAATACACGTGTTGCTCCTAAGATAACGTCTGCGACTTAGTTGGACTCAAGCCATATGGATGGCTTCGTGAACAAATCTTTGTTGATAGCCAATCGGCTTGCAAAGTACCATCGTCTTAGAGAAATGAATGTCGTGTGAGCCAGACGCATTAAAGTGAAAATGATCAGCCACGGCAAAAGTATTGGTCCTGCCATGTTTCAGATCTGCCTTGAGTTCACGAACACGGTCCGAGACATGTCGTTTGGTTTCCCCAATGTAACTGCTGCCACAGACACAGCTTAGTTTGTAGACGCCGGGATATTGCATGTCAGGAATCTTGTCCTTCACAGATGGGATCAGGTCACGAATTTTATGAATTGTGTTAAATGGGACCTGGATCTTGTGTTTGTTCAAGATTTTGGAAATCTTTTTGGTTATCACTGCTATGTAAGGCAAGGTGATGGTTTTTATTGGATCTTCAGATGGCTCCTTCCTCACAGTTTGGGTGATGACTTTGTGGATTGTGTAGTCAGAATATCCATTCGCCTTGAGAGCCTGGTGTAGGTGTGTGAGTTCACTGGTCAGATATTCATGGTCGGAGACACATTTTTGGATGAGGGAATTCTCCTGCGATGGATGGTGGTGGGAATCCGGTTTTAGGTAGGCGTCAGTATGGGCTACTTTCCTGTAGACAGAGTGGATCAATGCTGATAGATGAAGTTCGGTCACCGTATTGTGCTTTTGACATGTACCTCCACACACAGAAAAGGACAACGGTCAACACATTTTATTCTACGTGCTTGTGAGTTAATTGCTAATTATTAAAATGTATTGGATAGATTTAGCAGCGTCACAGTGATTTGGGTACCATCTTTCTTACCTCTGTATTCTTAGTATGTAAATTGTATAAATCACGACATTAATACATGGACGTTGAGATAAAAAATGAGAGTATTGCGTTAATCTTCAAAGTCATTATCCAATATTGTGCTGCATAATCCTGTATTTCAAAATAAGTGTTTTAGTCCATCGGCATATCGTTCTGGAAATCCACGAGGAGATTGGCTAAAACATTTATGAATGTATACGTGGAGACACGAGAATGGAGTTCTGCTTCTAAGGTGATTGGTCATTCATCATGGTGTCTGGGACATGGCCCCACAACTTCTGGCAAACTGTTGGGGCCGCACTGCCGGCACTCATTGCCGGCGCGTACGTGCTTGCGAGCGTGCGTGCGTGCGTGCGAGCGTACGTGCGTGCGTGCGTGCGTGCGAGCGTACGTACGTGCGTGCGTGCTTGCGAGCGTACGTGCGTGCGTGCGTGCGTGCGAGCAGGCGTGAAGGATCTACTGGACCACGTGGGCACCAGCATCAAGACGACGGCGAGGCAGCTGCCCCTTCAGCTCGTGGTGCACAACGGCACCAAGTACCTGGACATGGGCCAGGCGCTAGTGCACGAGCACCTGCCCACGGTCGCCCAGTACGACTTCTACAGGCAAGTGCCGCAGTGAAGCGCCGTCGGGTGCGACGGGACTTCTTGGCCATCCCGCGGGTCTGCTGGCCGTGGCACGGCTCTCTCTAGTGCACGGCGTAAAGCCCTCACCGCTTGGCAGGAGTGGAAATGCTGAGCATGCTTGTATACGTAGCACTAATGAGCACAAAGACAGAGAGTGCGCGAGCATCTGGGCGAATTCTTTATTCATTTGTGAATTTGATTCGTGGCACAAATCAAACCATGAATATTGCAATAGTAAGCAACGTGGCAATAGTAATTTCGTGTTGGTGCACAAATGGGGAAGCCGTGTCGATAAGAACTGAGAGATGAGAACGTTGTTGTCGCGTGTAGAAACAGTCAAGGGCTCGCCTTGGAGAGCGCTCGCATGGACACATCCTCCTTGAGAAGGAGCGGCGAGTTCAACGGAGGCGCACATCAATTCTGCAATGAATTTGGTCACTCGCCTCGACATTCCCACCCGACCTTCTGTGTCGACATTGAAGGCGCTGCTTGATGACTGCGACTGCCACGCTTGCCGGTGCCATTCGTGAAGCCATTTGTGACTGGAACTTTTAGGATGTCATTTTTAGAAAGACTTCCTTCAGCGTAGGAAATGCAATTTTAATTCTTGCCGTTATAAATGCCATTTTGAATGCCACATGTGGTTTCATTTCATTAGTGTCGTGCATAACGTGGTAATTTTGGATTTCTTACTATATTTCCTTTGTACATAGGTCTGGTAATTTACTATATTATTAGTAATGTGTGTATGTATGTTGAACTTCTTTCGCACCATACGTAGCCAACCATAAACCCTCTCTCCCCATGTACCATGCTTGTTGTTTAGCCAGGTCCTTGTTGAGAGAGAGCTCAGTGGGCCTCGCCCAAAACACACCGGCTGACCGACTGATGTATAGGATGCTGGAAGGGGGTGGTGGGGGAATTCCCGCCTGCTTAAGGGCACAGAGCAAACAGTGTTTATGATCATGGTTTTTTTTAATTGAAGACTAGCTTCACTACCATTCTGCCATTCTACAGTTGGACATCGGAGGCAGAATTATCCGTGAGTATTTTTGGAGCGTAACCCTCGCGTAAAAAACAAGTATAACCCGTAAAAACAAAGTTTTTCACTCTAAATCCTTTATATGCGTGGCGGCTAGAGTCCTCTCGTCCTCTGGCTTGAGATGGCTGCCACCTATGGGTCAAATGATTGCCTGCCACCATTAAGCAATTGGTAATTAAATATAATATTTTTGTCATAAAAGTGTCAAATTTTGGAAATATTTTTTCACGAACTTTAATTGTCACGCACAACGAGTCTGTGTGGAAAATGTCAGCTCGATTGGATCACGGGAAGTGAGTTATAAAACGACCGAAAGATTTGCACGGTCCTAACCAAGCAAGCAAGCGAACTTAATATAAAGGATTTAAAAAGTCCGCACCGAGGACACGTCTCTGTATTGGCAGGGGGGGGGGGGGTGGGGGTTGGGGGCCCAGCCACATGAGTATTGGTGGGGTGGGGGGGGGCGCACTCACCCCCGACACGAGCGTCACGTGCTGCTGCCTCGCAGGTGGCTCGTGTGCGTCGTCCTCTGCTCGCTCGCGGGCCTCGTGGTGCTGCTCAACCTGCTGGGCCTGCTGTGCGGCACGTGCGGCTACGGCGAGCACGCCGGCGGAAACTTCCTAATGGCGTGAGCGGCCAGCGGCGACGCGGCCCCCCCCCCCCCCCCCCCGGCAGGAGGGAGCGGCGTTCGCCGCTTGTTGTTGGGGAGGTCCGCGGTTCGAATCGGATGGGTCCCCCCTGGTTATTGTTGGAGGGGTGGGTTTAGGACAGAGGTCGCAATCGGGTACCCGATACCCGTACCCTACCCGTACCCGGCCGGGTAGGGTACGGCCGGGTACGGGTATCCGTTTGCGACCCTGGTGCGGCCGGGTACGGGTAAGGAATCAAAACCCATTTGCGACCTCTGGTTTAGGAGGGGTAAGCTTAGGGTGGCCGTGTGCTTTCACGGTGGACGTTAAAGCTTCTCTGAGCTCAGCCGAATGGGCTTTACTCGGGAAATGCATTTCTGATTTGAGTCGGCCATTGTGTGCTCAGAGCCCAAATTTGCCAAGTAAAAAAAATGGTCAACCAATGACCGGGGTGGAATGCGTAGCAATCATCGCCCCCTACTGGCAGATTGATGCCCTTGGCTTGCAGGCCGGGTGATAAGCCACCTTGTGTAGCACACGAACAACTGTCACTGGTGAGGGGGGGTCGGGGGGGGTCCCCTTTCAAAAATGTTGATAAGACGCGAGTCGATTATCACTTGTAACGCACTCCGAGATGTGCATGTGCTATATTGGAAAAGCAAATTGTTATCCATGAATGGTTCAGACTTAAGGAACTGCAGTATTACGTGCCTTGCCGGTGCCTTGCTGGTGCTGTGATGGCGTGACGTTCTTTTTGGAAGGCTATGCCACGGAAGTAATGTTCACTTAAATGTGACTCTAATTCAGCATTTGAAAGAAGCACTTCAAAGAATTTTGTTTGCGTGCCGTTGATAAAGGACGTCATGCCTTTTACTGCTCGGGGCCTTGGCGAGAAGAATTTAAGTGAAAACCCGTTTTCATTTTGTTGTTGTATTCATTTGCAGCTGGGCTGAGACACATCAAAACAGGACAATTAAAAGCCTTTAAGAACACTCATGGAGTGTATTGTGCAGTATGGGAAACTGAAGTGTAGGAGCACCAATCCTGTCGGGGGGGGGGGGGGATGTGTAAATGCACAACCCTGTGTGTTGTCGAATATATGTATGTATGTTGAACTTATTCCGCACTGCACGTGTGTGTTTGTGCTGTAAGCAGTGGCGTCGGCTTCAGCTTGACCTTCTCGTGGCTGCTGATGCTGGTGGTGACGCTCACGTTCGTCCTGGGCGGGAACGTGGAAAAGCTTTTCTGCCAGCCCTTGGCCGACAAGAACCTCTTCAAGGTGGGCGCACGCGCGCTCTGCTCTGTGGGCGAGAGATTCCGTGGGGTCGTCCTTGTCGTGGGGTTTCGCTGATCAAGTCCACCGGGAGCCATTGCCCCACGTTCGACGAAGACGTGCAAATGAATTGCATGCATTGAAATGAAAAGTCTCACTCGTGAGTGCTGCGTGTGCGCGCGACAGCGGAGCGCTGGTTCGCGCGCTGCGCTACGAACCTGGCGACCCGAGTTCGATTGCCGCTCACAGCTCACGTCGGCGATGGATATCTAAACTGGTTATGGGCCTTCCGCTAGATTGACTCGGCGTTAAATGAGTACCTGGTGCGGCGTGTTTGAATATACCGCGTCACTCTATCGTGTGCCATTCCAGCATTAACAAGTGCTCGCAACCAGAACCTGCTCCAACAGTCTGTTAGAGGCTCTGTGCGGAACCTTTTTGCGTGAGATGGAGGCTGATTAGTTCGGTGTGGCAGTAGAGCAGGCCTGCAGCCGTGGGCCACGTTCGACGCTGATTCCTGTCGCCGCCATCCCAGCGACTGATTTGCGAATCGGGTGTCAAACCGTCTCGTGAATTTGGCAAAAAAAAAACTCGTGTGGAATGTCGGACAATGCCAGAATTGCACAAAAGTGTGGAAACTAAAACTACGACAATTGGGCCCATAGTGTGGGAAGGTAGTCGTCTTCCTGGAAGGTTCTGCACCAGTGGTGGCAACATTCAACACATCCTGACGACACGGTGTACTCTCTCCGTAGGAGCCCCCACCGTTGACTCCCCACGAGTTTCAGCAGGCAAACCATTTGGTGCTTAGATTACAGACCCCTACCCTATAGGGGTCAGCACTGCACGCAGAGTGTGGTGGCACTCAGCGCTTACCCAGCCCCCTCTAGGGCTGGTGCTACAACCACACGACGTACGGGGGGTGTCCGTGATGGCAATGCATCGCACTCCGCGCTTCACTCGAGCCGGCATTGGGCGCTTTGTAAACGTGTTGAAGGATTTGCTGGACGCAAAACAGTAAGAGTGCATTGTGGTAGGCTCAAATAATCTTGGTTTGCCCAGCTCACGGCATCTAAATACAACTCCTTTTCCATATTTTTGGGTTTTTTTGGTAAAGTCACGTAGGTAAAAATTTTAAATGAATAAAAGTAAAATAAAATAAAATTGTTATGTAGACTAGCCGTAGTTTCAGCCGCACCAACCTTACCATAATAGTAAAAAGGGGGCCAACCTTGGCTCCTCCCACCCTCAACCTGTATATATACAAGGACTGTTTTCTTGGAATTTCTCTTCCTTGATACAGCTATCGTGTTGTGACGGTTCCACCTGAAGACGGAAGCTTGTGTTGCTATTTTACTTTAATTAATTTTAATTTTTTACCTACCTGGTGACTTTACCGAAAAAACCCAAGAATATGAATCCTTGCAGTCACGAAAGCTTCAAATCTATAAACAACTCCTTTTGTGCATCCCATCAGCCGTGCGGAACTCTGGGAGTGCATAAGTTTGGCAGCGTACAAAGCCCTTGGCTCCGTTCGAGTGATATCTCATTACTTAGTTCTTTCGGTAAAGTCACGTAGCTAAAAAATGATGCAGCAAATCTGGCTGTGACGGTCCCACCTGATGACGGAGACTTGTGTTGCCTCCGAAACGTCGTGATTTTTATTTTTATTAATTTTAATTTCATTATTTACCTACGTGACTTTACCTAAAGAACTAAAGAGTATGAATCCTTGCAGTCACGAAAGCTTCAAATCTAGAATGATATCCCATCACGACGTACCGATACCTACAATTGACTAAATTAAATCGCCACACACAGAGTGCTTGGGATGATGCCTTTGCGGTGTAATCTTGTAGCCCGAGTTTAAAGACGAGGCACTTCCTGACCCACTCCGGTTTTAAAGTGGCGTGTGAATGCTGTCTTCTCACTCGTACCGTACTGCTGTTGAGGTTTTTTTTAAAAGTTTGTTTAGGTTGACACTTGTGACCGTAACAAAACTCTGTTCAAAAGAATGGTAAAAAAAACTCACGTCGGCATCACTGTCTGGTACAGCTGTCCCTATCCTTTTAAAATGTCCTGAAATCTGCTCTAAAGCCAACACACTCGATCCATTAGTCTCTGTTTAATCCGGTATCTTTGGGAGCAGAGCATTTGAACCGTCTACAAACCGGACTTCCTCCACCCCCCTACCCTCCTCCCCCTCACGTGACTTGTCGTGTTCCCCACTTTTGACAGTTGAAAAAACAAAATGTCTTCCTTCCTTTCTTAGTTCTTCGATACGCCAAATCTGTTCAAGCCGAAGCATCTCTTGCCAGGAGTTCTCTTCAACAATCCAGACCTGAACATTACCATTGAGGGCGTATACAGGCAAGTCTGTTGCTGTACCACACCCGCTGTTGTACCCCGTCATATGATTCTTGTTTTGACGGAGTCGCTTAGTGTGAGCGCGTTGGCTTTAAAAGGTGGTGAGCGGTGAGGGTGAGTGTTGAGGGTGAGTGGTGAGTAGTGATGGTGAGTGGTGAGCATGACTGGTGAGTGGTGAGGGAGAGTGGTGAGGGAGAGTGGTGAGGGTGAATGGTGAGGGTGAGTGGTGAGTGGTGAGGGTGAGTGGCAAGTGGTGAGGGTGAGTGGTGATTGGTGAGGGTGTGATTGGTGAGGATGAGTGGTGAGGGTGAGTAGTGAGGGTGAGTGGTGAGGGTGAGTAGTGAGGGTGAGTGGTGAGCGGTGAGGGTGAGTGTTGAGGGTGAGTGGTGAGTAGTGATGGTGAGTGGTGAGCATGACTGGTGAGTGGTGAGGGAGAGTGGTGAGGGTGAATGGTGAGGGTGAGTGGTGAGGGTGAGTGGCAAGTGGTGAGGGTGAGTGGTGATTGGTGAGGGTGTGATTGGTGAGGATGAGCGGTGAGTAGTGAGGGTGAGTGGGGAGGGTGAGTGGCGGTTGTGAGTGGTGATTAGTGAGGGGTGAGGGTGAGTGGTGAGCGGTGAGGGTGAGTGTTGAGGGTGAGTGGTGAGTAGTGATGGTGAGTGGTAATTGGTGAGGGTGTGATTGGTGAGGATGAGTGGTGAGTGGTGAGGTGAGTAGTGAGGGTGAGTGGTGAGGGTGAGTGGTTGTTGTGAGGGTGAGTGGTGAGAGTGAGTGGTGAGGGTGAGTGGTGAGCGTGAGTGGTGAGGGTGAGTGGTGATTGTTGAGGGTGAGTGGTGAGGATGAGTGGTGAGTAGTGAGGGTGAGTGGTGAGGGTGAGTGGTGAGGGTGAGTGGTGAGGGTGAGTAGTGAGGATGAGTGGTGAGTGGTGAGGGTGAGTGTTGAGTGGTGAGGGTGAGTGGCGGTTATGAGTGGTGATTAGTGAGGGGTGAGTGGTGAGGGTGAGCGTGAGTGGTGAGTGGTGAGGGTGAGCAGTGCGGGTGAGTGGTGATTGGTGAGGGTGTGATTGGTGAGGATGAGTGGTGAGTGGTCAGGGTGAGTGGTGAGCGGGGAGGGTGAGTGGTTGTTGTGAGGGTGAGTGGTGAGGGTGAATGGTGAGGGTGAGTGGCGGTTGTGAGTGGTGATGGGTGAGTGGTGAGGGGTGAGTGGTGAGGGTGAGTGCTGAGTGGTGAGGGTGAGTGGTGAGAGAGTGGTTAGTTTTGAGGGTGAGTGGTGAGGTTGAGTGGTGAGGGTTAGTGGAGAGTGGTGAGTGGTGATTGGTCAGTGGTGATTGGTGAGGATGAATGGTGAGTAGTGAGGGTGAGGTTGTGTGGTGAGGGTGAGTGGTGGTTGTGACGGTGAGTGGTGAGGGTGAGTGGTGAGGCTGAATAGTGAGGGTGAATGGTGAGAGTGAGTGGTGAGTGGTGAGGGAGAGTGGTGAGGGTTAGTGGTAAGGGTGAGTGGTGAGGGAGAGTGGTGAGGGTTAGTGGTGAGGGTTAGTGGTGAGGGTGAGTGGTGAGGGAGGGTGGTGATGGAGATTGGTGAGAGAGGTTGGTGAGTGGTGAGTTGTGAGGGTGAATGGTGAATAGTGAGTGGGAGTGGTGAGTGGTGAGGATGAGTGGTAAGGGTGAGTTGTGAGTGGTGAATGGTGAGGGTGAATGATGAGTACAGTCAATATGCACTTCTGTTATCATACCAGGTACCACCACCACAATATGTACTCCTCTCATCATAGCAGATACCACCACAGCAGTATGCACTGCTGTAATCATAGCAGGTACCAACACAGCAGTATGCACTGCTGTAATCATAGCAGGTACCAACACAGCAGTATGCACTGCTGTAGTGATAGCAGGTACGACCTCAGTCGGTATACACTGCTGTAGTGATAGTAGATACTGCTATCGAGTTGGTAGATACCGCTATAGTAAATACTTAAACAGTCAGTATATACCACTACAGTCAGTCAATACTGCTACAGTCAGTATATACTACTATACAGTCAGTACATACTGCTACGGTGAGTAGCTACTAGAGTCAGTAGATACTATTATAGAGTGAGTAGATACTGCTATAGATTTTGTAGTTACTACTATAGTCAGTGGATACACTATAGAGTTAGCAGATACTATACAGTTAGTCGTTACGAGTATATAGTCGGTAGATACTACTGTAGGCCCAGTAAATACTACTATGGTCAGTAGTTATTACAGTCACTAAATACTACTACACAGTCAGTAGCTACATATGGCTCAGTAGATACTACGGTACAGTCAGTAGATACTACTACAGAGTCAATAGATACCACTTCCTCTGTTGTATGTGAAGTGTTCTTGAAGACGCGTGGACAACGGGGTAAGGCACACGTATTTATTTACACAATGTCTTTACAGTACTGGAGGGATGTATCGGCTCCCTCACCCGTACAACTGGGAATTCACCCCTAGCTAGCCTTCCTAGCCGAGTCCTCCGCTAACGGGCTAGGGGAGGCTGTCTGGCCCGACACTGGTTAGTCGGGCTACGGTACCCGGAATCCCAGAGGTCTGACTCTGGTTCCGGGACCACGCCACTGGCTCCAGCCTGCACTGCCCTTACAAGGGCGGTGTCCCAGGGGGAGTCCAGGGCCTATCTGGCCGGTCTTCTCTCTTCCCTTAACTACTCTAAGACTGAGCCCCGAGCTCTCTGGCTCAACCCTTTTTATACCCCCCTAGAGGATCGAAACCCCCCTCACGCCGTCCAGTACGGACGTCGTTGCGGGCACCACCCCGTGTGCTCACGGAGTCCCCGCCCACTGTGTTTGTTTTCCGTTAGCCCTTATGCAAACAGCCCTACACAAACAGACCCTCTGTAACAGCCCTACATATGTAAGGTGTTGTTAGTATATATACCTACGAGGGGTAAAGATATTTTTTGAGGGGGGGGGGGGGGGAGACCGCAATTTTCGGAAACATTTTGACATCAACTATTTACCCCACACTCTCACACACACACATACACTCACACTCACACACAAACTCACTCTCACACTCAGACTCACACACACAGACTCACTCTAACACTCAGACTCACACACACAGACTCACTCTAACACTCAGACTCACACATACACTCGCTCTCACACTTTCAGACTCGCACACACTCGCGGCGTTGCTCCGTGTTCGGTGGGGGGGGGGATGTCACGAGTGGGCGTGTTTACCTTCCCCCCACCCTCCCCGATATCTTCAAACAATCGCGGAGATTCTTATTCCCGTCGAAAAGCTACGAGGTTAGTCACGCAACTTCACAGCTCAGTTAAAACATTTAAATATTTATGTTTACTATTTTGTATCACTCTTATATAGGGATTAAGTTATGTTTGATGATAGTAAATATACACTATGCACCACGATTTTTCCCTGGGTAAAAAGTGTTATTTTTATATTGCTTAAGCCTCCTAAGTATATAAGATGGCTATTATTCCCCATACATGTTGCTTTTGTGACCAGAACTTTATATAAAGGAAAGAATTACACAAATGCACACGTTTTCTCCTAGCAAAATAGGTCCATTTGTAAATATCACTGTCCGTGTCAAAAAAAATTAAGTTTGAGGGGAATTTTATCCCATTTGTAACTTTTGAGATGTCAGCGTATAGAAAATAACACTTACTACCCAGAGACTAACACATGTGTAGTTTTTGGTAAAAAAAAAAATATTTTTACGATTAAAAATTTGGTCACTGTCTGTATCTCAAAAACTAAGTTTGAGGGGAATTTTCTCCAATTTGTAACTTTTGAGATGTCAGCGTATAGAAAATAACACTTACTACCCAGGGACTAACACATGTGTAGTTTTTGGTAAAAAAATATATATTTTTCGATTAAAATTTTGATCACTGTGTCTCAAAAACTACGTTTGAGGGGAATTTTCTCCCATTTGTAACTTTTGAGATGTCAGCGTATAGAAAATAAGACTTACTACCCAGGGACTAACACATGTGTAGTTTTTGGTATAAAAAAATATAATTTTACGATTAAAATTTTGATCACTGTGTGTCTCAAAAACTACGTTTGAGGGGAATTGTCTCCCATTTGTAACTTTTGAGATGTCAGCGTATAGAAAATAACACTTACTACCCAGGGACTAACAAATGTGTACTTTTTGGTAACAAATGTTTTAAATATTTACAATTTTTGACAACTTTTTTTATTTAAATAAATAAATCTCTTTAAGCTTTCGCTCCAGCTTCTTCACATTTGCACTCTCAGTACGGGCGATATTCAATGAGATTATGTTTACTCTCACACTCTCACACTCACCACTCACTCTCTCTGACTCACACACACACACACTCTCAGACTCACACACACACATACACTCACTCTCACACACACACATACACTCACTCTCACACTCTCAGACTCACAGACATGCAGAACCACTGCAGTTGGAATGGTTCCGTGCGAATTGGTCCATTGCGGTACACAGTTGCATGTCACATTGCCGAGCCATTATTTAGTCGGCAATGAAGTTATTGACCGAAAGGCCCAATCCTCGCCCCCCTCTCGCCTGGGCAGCTCGTTCCAGGGAGTCCAAACAAGGAAAAAAACAATTATCAGCCTCAAGAAGACTAAAGCAAATATAAGGCCAAAACTAAGTGTTTTATTGTACTCGGTGAACACACCTTTTATTACATTCCTAGCTATCAACATCATCATCATCTACTGCTGGATGAAATCCTCTCCAAGTTGTGTGGTTTTTTTTATCCTGGTGTATGTCATGCGAGTAGATGAAACAGTTGCATTTACATAATTTATTATTTCAAATTGGTATAGTAGTATTCTTAGGTTTTTTTCGGTAAAGTTACGTAGGTAAAACATTTTAATTAATAAAAGTTATCGTGCTGTGACGGTTCCACCTGAAGACGCAAGCTTGTATTGCCTTCGAAACGTCGTGATTTTTATTTTATTAATTAAAATTTTTACCTACGTGACTTTACCGAAAAAACCTAAGAATATGAATCCTTGCAGTTGTAGTGACATAGAACGGTCACTACTGTGTCGGCCCGTACGAGGGCTGGGGGCCCTAAGGGGGTGCCTGGGGGGTCACGTGGTGGAGGGATCCGGACCTTCCCAGAGGTGGGGAAGGGAGACGTGGCCTGGGAAGGGAGGCGTGGCCTGGGCAGAGCCAGCCACGCCTGGGCGGAGCCGGCCACGCCAAAGCAGATATAAGCGTGGTGTGAACGCGGAGCGAGGCTGTTGTACTGTACTCCGAAGTGAAGACATCATGGGTCGTCGTCCTGGGCCAGGCAGGCCGTTGCCTGCCTGGTCCAGTCTGTGTCGCGTTCCAGAGTGTTAGTGAGTTGAGGAAGGTGGTCACCACCTCATGTACAGCGTTATGTTACTTACCGTTTAATAAATAGTGTTGCCTCCAAGCTGCGTGTGTGTGCACCTAATTCGAACCCACTACACAGTCACGAACGCTTCAAATCTAGAATGGTATAATAGTCTTGCTGATGAAAATACGTCTGGGAGCTGAATATCAATGTCGAGGTCTGCTAGCCACGAGGGGACTGCGGGAAAGTGCACATACACCTTGTGAAGTGTTTTGGAGGTACGGAGAGACGAGAGTTGTTGTATCTTGAACCCGCCTTCTCTGAGGCTGACTCAATACGAATGCGAGTGTCTGGAATCACCGCCCCCGCCCCCCCCCCCCCGCCCGTGTGTTTTTACAGTGATTGCAAAAGTAACACAGGGATCCATTCTGCTTTTCAACTCTCAAATCTATTCAACTTGGACAGCCTCCTAAACATCACTCGGGTAAGTGCATGTTCACGGAAATGCGCCAACACTGTGATTTGGAATCCTCGTACGAATCAGTTGATATTATTTATGTGCGGTTGAATTGTTTACGTGAGAATACGCCGTGTTATCTTTTTTCCTCGTGATCGGAAACACGATTGCACACTCACCGTTGTATTACTATTATACAGCAGGCTTCTTTTGAAATGTTGTGCGGGTCAAAATAAACCGCCTAATTCCGGTGTTCTGTCTCCTTTCCACACCGCCACCTGAAAACCACCAGTATACGGATGACATCGCAAGCAAATTTGACCCCATCAATGTGAACCTGTTGGACATGAAGCTGCTGGAACCCAGTGTCAAGCAGAGCCTGCTGGACTTCGCAACGACTGGAATCGGCAGAATCGACTTCAGCGCATTCAGCGCAGAGGTTCTGTGTCCGTGTCGTCATCTGTGTCCGTTTTGTCATCTGTGTCTGCGTCGTCATCTGTGTGCGTGTGGGGTTCACTCACGGCGTCACACATCCGATGGTCAACTTCTCATTCATGGTCATGCATAACACCACTTTTACACTCGCACTAATGGCCTCTGAAGATCGAGAGAACAAAACTTCTGAATACCCCCCTCATAGGTTGACTCAGCCTTAAATAAGTTAAGCTGGTGCAGCATGTCAACATCATTGCCGGAGAGGCAAAGGTGGCTGGTTACGTGAGGTCCTGGCCACATCACCGCTTCTTGCGCCTTATAGGTCTGAATAGGTGCTTACTTAGAGTACTTGTTTCTATTCATAGGACTAAATGGGGAGATCCATGTGTATGTGCATGTATTCAATATTGCGTGCCTGTGTAATGGTTCTGGAGACACTTGTAGAGGTAACTTCTTTATTACAATTCAACACTCCAACAGTCCTGATACTCTGTTACAGCCTAGGTACACAACCTAGGTACACAGCCTAGGTACACAGCCTAGATACACAGCCTAGCGACACAGCCTAGGTACACAACCTAGGTACACTACTCTGGCTACGCTCTGGGGTCCTCCGGCTACAATTACCCTAGGGGAGGCTATCTGACCCGACCCAGCCAAGGTGCGGGTCTGGACTCTGGCTTCCTCGGAACTCGCACTTACACGGACGTAGAGCCGGGAGTCCCAGAGTCCCACCACTGGCCCTCACAGCGTCCCGGCCCTTACAAGGACAAGCGGGATGAGGGTGTCCAGGGTCCTAAGCTGGCTGGCTGGCGGGTCTTGGGTCTTGAGCTACAACTGGCCCTGATCGGCCAGGGAGCTCCCCTTTTATGCCTCGTCCCCAACGAGGGGTGGGGTTGTGTGCGCCCCCAGGTATCCCACAGAGCACACACAGCCCCCCCCCCCCCCCCCCCCGTTGGTGGCGCCAAGGGGCTTAACTGTCTGGGGTGCCTGGGATCCTAGCGCCTGGCGCCAGAGCCCCCAGTAGCCCCTCCCCTCTTATGGCACTACACCTGCTGAGAGGGTTGGCGACTATCTCTTGAGAAACTTGTTCATCCTGGTCTGCGGTCTTCGTAGCAGTCCAGCTTTTATTGTCTGCGAGCGGTCTCCAATGTTAATTGTGCAAAGTGCAATTGCGAGAATGCGTTTGCTCTTTCGTTCTTAGCGCATGGCAACCCACTGCTGCCAGCTGATTGGTTGCCGTAGGGAAACAAAAGCCCCCTGAACTATTGAACCTCGGTGTGTAGGCTGATTAATTTATTACACTAAAGTAGCCAAAGCAAATAGGTGGATCAAAAAATCTGAGCGCGGTGGGATTTATCAAAGTGAGTTGCAGTAATGAAAACAGAGCTTTGTAAATGTCCAAAGCCAATGGGCCCATAAGGCCGATCAACATTAATTCCCCCCCCCCTCCTATGTGGTGTCTACGTTAAAGCTGGCAGCTCATCATAAGCAATGAATGGGCAATTAAGCACCGCACCATCGGCTTGTGAAACACAAAGCTGCCATACGCACCGCAAGTAGGGGTCAACGACGTAGCCTGATGTCATGTTGCTGATTGACGGCCTGCGATACAAGTGGCGTAGCGCAATTCACGACTCTGAGGCAGGTTGCTGTTAGGGGCTCACGCCAAGTTTGTTAAGGGCTCACGCCAAGTTTGTTAAGGGCTCACGCCAGGTGGTTAAGGGCTCACGCCAGGTGGTTAAGGGCTCACGCCAAGTTTGTTAAGGGCTCACGCCAGGTGGTTAAGGGCTCACGCCAGGTGGTTAAGGGCTCACGCCAGGTGGTTAAGGGCTCACGCCAGGTGATTAAGGGCTCACGCCAGGTGGTTAAGGGCTCACGCCAGGTGGTTAAGGGCTCACGCCAGGTGGTTAAGGGCTCACGCCAGGTGGTTAAGGGCTCACGCCAGGTGGTTAAGGGCTCACGCCAGGTGGTTAAGGGCTCACGCCAGGTGGTTAAGGGCTCACGCCAGGTGGTTAAGGGCTCACGCCAGGTGATTAAGGGCTCACGCCAGGTGGTTAAGGGCTCTCGCCAGGTGGTTAAGGGCTTACGCCAGGTGGTTAAGGGCTTACGCCAGGTGGTTAAGGGTTTACGCCAGGTGGTTAAGGGCGAGGCTCCTGCTGGAGAGGCACAGAGAGAAGAACAAAGCTGTGCACGTGTCGTTCCTCGACCTTGAAAAGGCATTTGACAGGGTCCCCCACGACCTCATCTGGCACTCGCTTCGATCCCATGGAGTCCCTGAAACCTACGTGCATTGGGTGCAACTCCTATACAAGAACGTCACCAGTGCAGTCAGGTGTGCAGTGGGCATATTACCGCCATTTCCCATCAGCGTTGGAGTGCACCAAGGATCGGCCCTGTCACCACTCCTGTTTATCCTGTGCATGGACACAATCACTGCCGACCTGCACACGCCCCTGCCATGGTCAATTCTCTACGCGGATGACGTCCTCCTCACAGATGAAGAGAGAGGAGAAGTGGAAAGACAAACGCGCCTGTGGAAGGAACGTTTGGACGAAAACGGGATGAGGTTCAACATCAAAAAGACAGAGTATATGGAGTGTGGCCCCCAAACCGACGGCACCATCAGCATTGACGGAGAAGATCTGAAGAAAGTGACGGACTTTAAGTACCTGGGCTCCACCATCAGCTCAGATGGTAGCATCACGACTGATGTGAGGTCACGAGTCAATGCGGCATGGATGAAGTGGAGGAAAGTCACCGGAGTCCTCTGTGATAGGAAAATGCCGGATAGGCTGAAGGGAAAAATTTACAAGACCATCGTCCGACCGGTGGCACTCTATGGATCCGAGTGCTGGCCAGCCACAACTGTACACGAACAAGCTCTCCACACCATGGAGATGAGGATGCTCAGATGGAGCCTCGGACTCACTCGATGGGATCGTGTCATGAACGAAGACGTTCGGAAGCGACTTGGTGTGGCCCCCATTGCGGACAAGATGCTTGAGGCAAGGCTTCGGTGGTACGGCCATGTGATGCGAAGTGAAGAGTCATCAGTGGCCAAGACTGCCATGCGTATTGAGCCAGAGGGCCGCCGTCCACGCGGACGTCCAAAGAAGCGATGGATGGATCGAATAAAGGAAGACATAAAGACGGTCAACGTATCCCCTGAAGATGCCCTGGACCGAGCCAAATGGAGAAGACAATGCCGAAAAGCGGACCCTGCGCCACAGCGGGAACAACGCTAGGAAGAAGAGGTTAAGGGCTCACGCCAGGTGGTTAAGGGCTCACGCCAGGTGGTTAAGGGCTCACGCCAGGTGGTTAAGGGCTTACGCCAGGTGGTTAAGGGCTCACGCCAGGTGGTTAAGGGCTTACGCCAGGTGGTTAAGGGCTCACGCCAGGTTTGTTAAGGGCTCACGCCAGGTGGTTAAGGGCTCACGCCAGGTGGTTAAGGGCTCACGCCAGGTGGTTAAGGGCTCACGCCAGGTGGTTAAGGGCTCACGCCAGGTGGTTAAGGGCTCACGCCAGGTGGTTAAGGGCTCACGCCAGGTGGTTAAGGGCTCACGCCAGGTGGTTAAGGGCTCACGCCAGGTGGTTAAGGGCTCACGCCAGGTGGTTAAGGGCTCTCGCCAGGTGGTTAAGGGTTTACGCCAGGTGGTTAAGGGCTCACGCCAGGTGGTTAAGGGCTTACGCCAGGTGGTTAAGGGCTCACGCCAGGTGGTTAAAGGCTCACGCCGAACCAAACCAGCCTAGCCTACAACTCCCCATGGGACAGGGTACCGTGATCCCTACAACGCCGGCTAACTCGGCTCTCCACCCTGCCCCGGCCCGGGACTACCCCAACCTCGGCGGAGTAGCCTCCCCTAGTCTCGTGTGAGGATCACCTACCCGAGTCCCCACTCCTACCCCCGACGAACCCCGGTTCCATCCCGGGTCCCCCTTTAAATACCCCCCTGGGGCATGACGTCACCGTCACCCACGGCCCCCCGCCTGACGTCACGTCCCGCGACGCCGCTCTCTACGAGGGCGCGCGTGACGTGGTGTCACCCACTACACCTGTACACGTGTGTAGGGGTGTCAGGGGAAGGATTCCCACCAATAGGAGGGTTAGTGGAACAGTGACAGGAGAAGGGGGAGGGCTAATCGAGGAGACGTGAGGGAGAGCACGGGCGGGAAGAGGGGAGCGAGATTGAGACGGCTGGGGACAGCTGTGGATGGGAGAAGGGGAGTACAGGACGAAGCCCCTGCCACCTTGTGTCGGCTTCTCCTTCACACACGAGAAGCATTCATTGGTGCAAGGTGGCATGCTGTTAGATAGTTTTAAAAAAACTTCATATTTTACTGGGTAAAGCTGTGTAATGATGTTGGTGTTTGTGTACACGTATAATACAGTTTCTTTTTTTTTTTTACGTAGCCTTCCATTCTTGGAAAAATATAATTACACGTGCCCATCCGTTTTTGTTTTTGCTTTGAAAGGATTCGGGAGGTGGTGGGGGGGGTGGTGGTTTGTGGAATTATAGCCGCTCTCCGCAATGAAACATAAATATCCCACGGCAAGAGGTCCCGGGCAGTGCTTCTCATGGCCGTGAACACTGCGGGAGGAGGATCGTGGTTGCTAAGACGATATGATGCCGGTAGTAATAATAAACTATCAGCGTGATGCCCTCGCTCGTAGTCCCGGCTCATCTGGCTGTGAACAACAGTGACCCAAACGCAGGGGCAGTTCCTGGAACCCACGCTGCAGTTTAACTGCACGATGCATTCGTTGAGAAGGACAAAACACAACTTGGGAATTGCATCGTGGAAGTTTTTTTTTGTTTCGTAAATTACAATCAGAAATATAAATGGGCGATGTCCTCACTTTGTTGATTAATTGAAATATCTCACTGAGGTGGTAAGGAGGTATTAACAATCAATGTCTTTTGTAGTGTGTGGAAAATACCACAGCCCTGGTTTGTGGGAGCCATGGTCCATGACTGAACATTTGCACTGCCAAGTTGTCTAAAGCAAGCGTTTCCAAACCCCTTGAACCACTGCGTCACTTAGACATCGTGATATGTGCCTTCAATGATTGCATAATGTCCAGTTGGAAATATTGTGCTGAAATAGTTGGGTGGGTTTTTATCTGCTGTGCATGTCGTGCCGCCTGGTCTAGAACATTGCACGTTAAAGTTTGTGTTTTTAATTTCCTTACAGCTCAACAAAGGCATTTCTGAGGTTGATCTGCTTCTGTTTGCCGATGAACTCAGCGAAAAAGCTAAACACCTGGTGAGTGTTGTCAAGCTTGTACGCTTTCATTTTCTCAAGTGTATTTCTATTTCAATGCTTTGAAAAATCTGCATGTGGTTTCACTCAGGTTTTTCCCAGCTGAAGTGTGGAATGAGCCAAACTAAAGTGTGCAGACGCATATGGGATTTTAATCATAGCTAACGTGTTATGTTTTTTTAAATCTAATTCACAGTGCTGCAGTGTAAAACCTATTTGAATGCTTTTATGTACATAAATGTGGCCTTTCTGGTAAGACCCTGAATGTATCTATTTAAAGTTAGCGTAAATGGCACGAATGTTTAAAGTTGCGATTTCTTAATCTCATTCATGTGTTGACCTCTCGGGGGGGGGGGGGGGGGGGGGAAGAGTTCTGGGAAAAAGCAAGAGTTTGATTTAAGAGAGTTGGGTTTATACTGGTAGGAACCTCCTGGTTACACCAGCCCACAGGGGATTATTGTGTCGGTCGTGCAGGGAGGGGCTGGGTGGGGAGGGAGGGGCTTGGTGGGGGGTGGGAGGGGCTGGGGCTGGGTGGGGAGGGGCTGGGTGGGGAGGGGAGGGTGTGGCTGGGTGGGGAGGGGCTGGGTGGGGAGGGTGGGGAGGGGCTGTGTGTGGCTGGGTGGGGAGGGGCTGGGTGGGGAGGGGAGGGTGGGGAGGGTGGGGAGGGGCTGTGTGTGGCTGGGTGGGGAGGGGCTGGTCACCCCGTGGTGCCCTTATAAAACTCAACGTTTAACCTACTCACGCCGGCTTGTGCCCGCCCTCACAGTCTTGGCATATTTGCGGAATACACCACGCCGCCGTTGACCCTGCAGGCCATTGACCGAGCAACCCAACGTTCCTACCAGCTCCCTCCGCAGGAGAAATGTGTTTATTAACGAACGTGGGACACTCGTTTGGTCAACTCTGTTTGGTTGTGCGCGATGATTTACATTTGATTCACGATCGACGTTTGCGTGCGACTGTGACCGCAGAGGGAGGCGCTGGCGAACGCGCTGCGGGGACACGCGGCGAGCATCCGCTGGATTCACTACAACCAAGTGGTGCTTCTCAACAGCAGCGTGGTGAGCACTGTGCCCTGCTGGTTACCTGCCTTGCGCCCCCTTTGCTCCACCAATGTTCGGCATTGTACACTTCATCGCAGCGGCTTGGGTTGCGCAATAAGTATGTATGTATGTTGAACGTATTTCTCACCGTACATAGCCAATCGTGCTATTCGGGTGTGTACACCTTACCAATGGTTTGTGCTTTACTCATGGCTGGTTTACACACCATAACATGGCCTGGGTTTCGATTTAAAGCTTTTTTCACGTAGAATGGAAATAATAAAATAATAAAAATAAAACATAATAACATAATTCTCACGACGTTTCGGACACAACGCAAGCAGCCGTCCTCAGGTGAAGAGTCTGAATGATACGTCCTGAAGCCCAGGACGTGTCATTCAGACTCTGTCTCCTCGACAGACCTGTTCTTCACCTGAGGACGGCTGCTGAAAGAACCAAGAAGATGGCCTGGGTTGTATGCCTTGCCAATCAATGGGTTGTGCACCTCACCATTTCCCGCATCGTATACCACCACGTGTTACACTAGCAGCGTTACGTACCGTGTAGTGGTGGCTGGGTTCTATGTACAGCAGAGAATGTGAATGGGGTGATTCCAGCGCTAAACCGCCTTTGCAGGAGGTTCGCGGTCCGAATCCGACAGCCCCTGGTTCGTTCTGCGGGTGTACACATCGTGAGGCACGTGCTGCCTGCTGCACAGTGGACGTTTAAAGATCCCGTGAGATCATTGGAACCTCATTTGCCAGTAAAAAATATGATAATTGGTTTGTGCACATTATCAGAGTTATGTGGTTTTTTTTTTGCATTATGGCTGCAGGTATTGTGGTCTATGTAAACATGACTCCTTGTAAAAAAGGTGTCAGTTTTGTTGCCAGATAGAAGGGTAAAAAAATAATTATCATCCCGTGACATCTTTTGAAGAGTGGGCCATACGTTGTGCGCTGGCGTCATCGTCAACATTTGCCAAATTTTCAAAAAGGATCACAAATTTCTCAATTGGGATTACACGCGGCAATCACCACCCCCACTGGCAGACGGATTCCTACTTAGTAGGCTGCTTCTGAGTCACTTTTTGTTTGCCATAGAGGGACAGCTGCTATGGAGGGGTTCCCCTTCTAATGTTTGAGAGGAGATGGAAGGCATTTTGTTATTAAATAATTATTAAATTGGCACACCTATTGGGAGCAAAGCAAGGTTTGCTCATATCTGAAGTGTGCTTGTATCAGAAGTTGCTCTTGAACTCCCTCCACCAGTGTAATGTTTGATGTTGCTTATACCAGAACTGTGCTTATATAAAGTGTGCTTGTATCCAGTTTCTCCTGTATCAATATTTGTATTGCAAAAAATACGGTCTAACAACAACAACAACAACCTTGTCGATCATGAAATATGGATTGTAATAATGTGCTCCGAGCTGAACCCACCACGTAACCAGAGCGTGGATCCACAGTCAGGCACCGATGAGCTGGTCGTGACGGCCCATAATGGGGTCCACCTCACTCAGGCCAGCCGTGTGTGACTGATGGAGAGGCAGAGGTCGCAAACGGGTTTTGATTCCTTACCCATACCCGTACCCGGCCGTACCAGGGTCGCAAACGGGTACCCGTACCCGTACCCGGCCGGGTACGGGTAGCCGGGTATCGGGTAGGGTACGGGTATCGGGTACCCGGTTGCAACCTCTGTGGAGAGATGGCGGTGGGGGTTCCCCAGTCTTCAACATCACATCCGCTGCTACAAATGTAACACATTGCAGCGTCAGCACTACGCGTGGGACACGGAGTGTTCCTTGTCCGATACAGCAGCCGCCATTTGCCACCACCAAGTGGCGGTGACGTCACCACAGCGCTTGTGCCAGGCTGGGTGCACTGCCACGGTGGAAACACCCGTGCGTCATCGAAACCGCAGAAAACTTTTGCAGTAACGTTCATGCTCGTGCTGTTGATGTACCCTTTAACATGGTGCTGTACGAATACAATATTTATTTAATTTATACTAGTTGGAACCTCCTGGTTACACCAGCCCACAGGGGATTATTGTGTCCGTCCGTCCGTCGTCGTGCAGGGAGGGGCTGGGTGGAGAGGGAGGGGCTGGGGAGGGAGGGGCTGGGTGGGGAGGGGCTGGGTGGGGAGGGGCTGGGGGGGGTGGGAGGGGTGGGGCTGGGTGGGGAGGGGCTGGTCACCCCGTGGTGCCCTTATAAAACTCAACGTTTCACCTACTCACGCCGGCTTGAGCCCGCCCTCACAGTCGGGCATATTTGCGGAATACACCACGCCGCCGTTGACCCTGGCCATTGACCGAGCAACCAAACGTTCCTACCAGCTCCCTCCGCGGGAATGTGTTTGTTGTTGACCAATTCAGAAATAAGTGCTTACCATTTGTGTTGTTTTCAGAGTACTTTGAACAAGAGTTTGAACTCTTTCCAGAGGACATCCCTTGCTCTGCAGGTTGGGACTGGTGATCACATTCACACTGCATAGCTGCTCCAGTGAAATGAGACTAATTCACCACGTAGAATATTTCACTTGAGTTTGATCACAGACACAAATTGATCCAGCTCATGAAATAATATCTGTTGATGGTTATTGTTGATTGGAATTTGCGTGTGCGGGACCCGCGTGGACACACGCGTACTTGTGACATGCTTATCCACATGTGCACTTAACGCCCTTGCAAAATAGTCAAAATAATTGTGTTCAATGTTTTGTGTGTGTGAATCCTAGAGTGCGATTACAGAAGCCATTGACAAATTGGACATTGCCCAGAGTCTCATCAATAACAATGCCTCAGAGGTTATCATTGGGGTAAGTTGTTACGTTAAAGTGCCATGTGTATCACGTGATTTTTAACGCGGATTGTTAAAATAAAAGTTTCCTTCGAGAAAATGCGTTTGGGGAATATTCGTCAATTCAGTCGGTCAACTTTGCGCGAGGTCCATTGAGTAAGGAAAATCGTTTTCGATTGCTTTAGTTTTGTAGGAATGATTCGTGGTGTACAGCCAAGTAATTTGAGTTGCAAGCCTCGTGGATGCATTGCTAACAAATGAGACCTTTACGAACAAAATGTTTAGGTAAAGCACCTTGCGGAAAATTTACATGGACCTTTTTCAGCAATCGTAACACTTTGCAATATTGGCCTTTTTCTAAAGGAAATGAAGACCTATATGGAGACTATAATAGGATACTTCGAGAGTTACGTTACTTGGACAAAGTTTTCCGTGAGTACATGAAAGCTGAATCGTCAATACAATGCACACCTCTTAGTAGCCCACTGACTTGACTTATTATGTGCATTCTTAATCACGAACATATATCTCCCGTGAAACTGGGGACATTTAAAGTAAGTTTAGAAGCTGGAGTCGGGTGTAATCGAAGTTGATTTAATTGCAACTTAATTGAATTGAAAGGTGTGGCACAGATACCCACGTTTGCATACCAGCGCTGTGTATAGGTTCTTTTGTAGACGTGTGTAATGTGAGGGTATATCCGGGTGGTTGATTGATCACACCTCGTTATGATGATTGGCTCTACCGGCCCAGGCCCATAGCCAATGGGGAGAGGTCTAGGGGCGTGGCCCTGAAGTAATGGGAAGGTGACACCTGGGAGGAGATGATTGGCCCTGCTGGCTTTGGCCACAGCCAATGGGGGGACGGGTCAGGGGCGTGGTCCTGGGACCGTAGGATGGAATCTGGAAGATTCCAGGGAGGTTACCCAGGACTGGTTGAAAGGCACCACGTGACCCAGGGATTTAAAGGGGTGGAGACGGGCAACACGTGGTCAGATTTGGAACGAAGGGTGACGCCACGCTGGAGCGGGGTCCAGGCCTGCCACGTGGCAGCAAGAGTCTCTCTCTCTCCCTCCCTCTCACGCTGTCTGTCAACAGCGTGAAGGAGTAAGACAGTAGTGGAATTTATATGAAGAGATCTGTGAACGAAAGAGAAATAAAGACCCTGATTCCAGAAGTCGCTTCCACCACCTTTATTACACGTGCATGTGCAGCCCATTTGTATTGGATGTCCTGCAGTTGACGCCTTCAACGTTTTCCACGGCCTTGTGGCAGGACCAGGTAGAGGCTTTCTAGCGAGTGTCGCTCGCTTGATAATTGGTGTTTTACCCTTCTATCTGGCAACAAAACTGACACCTTTTTTACAAGGAGTCATGTTTGCATAGACCACAATACCTGCAGCCATAATGCAAACAAAAAACACAACTCTGATAATGTATGTGCACTGTCCTTAAAGTTGATTGGTCCACACCCGAGACAGCTTTCTTTAGAGCCCAGTCTCACATGGTGTTGGACCAGATGACGCCAAAAGGCACACAACTCAAAGACAACGCACCATCAGAGTATGAGAGCTCGGGTCAAGCATTTACACCATTGGAACCTCATTTTACTGGCAAATGAGGTTCCAGTGGTGTCGCTCGCTTGTTAGGAGCCGCCACTCGAACTGTCCCCAGACCTGTGCCCGGGTGCTGTGCTGTTGAGCCCGAATACAAGACGCAGGTCGATGTTGCACAAATTGCGCGTCTGGTTTTTCTGGTCTCTTCCACCGATACAACTGGTGCCGTTCATTACTCAGACCCTTAAACACGTTCCAGAAAAGTGTCTTATAAATCATCGCTTTGGCAACACCTGTACCAAATGTGGGATTTTTGCACACAGTGTTGGTGTACGGTGTTTTTTTCTGCAATATTTTGCTGTCTTTTCTTGGATTTTCTGTTTGCACTCGGTCACATAGTCACTTTAAGATGTTTTCTTGTTCATGTTTTTGTTTTTTGTTCGTTGCGGTTGCACCCGATTCAAGAGCCGAATAGCTCACAGGGCTCTACCTAATACATGAACTTGACATGTGAGTTGGTTGAATGTGGCGAGCTCTAAGACCTCTCAGACGGAAATCGATTTGTGTGTCCGCTAAGTTCCTCCACTCTTTTGTGCAGATTTCCAACAAGGTGGGCGCCTGCAAGCCGCTCTCCAACCTGGTTGACTCTGTAGACATCATTGTGTGCAGCTACGTGATGGACTCGCTGGTGAGAGGAGACGCTTCTGAGTTGTGTACCAGAGAGTAGCATTTGGCACAAGGGTTCTTCCTGCATTGGGACATTTTCTGAATGATAAATAATGATACTTTTTGGAGGAAGCTAGATTATTTCCTGCGGTTAGCACACTGCGCTACCAACCCGGTGACCCAAGTTCGATTCCCGCTTACAGACAACATCGGTGACGACTATCTGAACTGGTCCCGGACCTCCCGTTGGTCAACTCAGCCTTAAATGCATGCCATCAGCACTGGGAAGACAAAGGTGGCCTAGGCATGGTGTTGGCCACCCACCCCCTCTCGTGTATGTCATGCTAGCCTTAATAAGGGCTCGCAAATAGCACTTGCCCCGACAGTGCGGTCAACGCTACTGTGTTTGCCTCGTCTCTTTTCTTTCAGAACGTGTTTTGGTTTGGCCTCGGTTGGGCGACGGTGTTTCTAGTCCCGAGCATCATTTTTGCCGTGAGGCTGGCAAAAAACTACCGGCGAATGGACACCGAGGACATGCATGATGAGTGAGTGCAGTGTGAAATCTGCTCTGCCGTGTACGTCCGAATACATCGGCTTAAATGGTATCATCAGGGGGTCCATATAGATCAGTGGTTCTTAACCTTTTTGGAGGTACCGAACCCCACCAGTTTCATATGCGCATTCACCGAACCCTTCTTAATTGGAAAAATAAAATATGATTTTTTCAAATTCAAAACATAGGTATATGTTTTACTCGTGCACAATCATGAGTCAGGTGTGTGTCTTAATCTCCGCCGAACCCCTGAGACTGACTCACCGAACCCCTGGGGTTCGGTCGAACCCAGGTTAAGAACCAATGATGTAGATTTAAACAATGTAGCGTACATTTTCTTGGTTCTTTCGGTAAAGTCACGTCGAAGGGAAATAATAAAATAAATATAAAACTAGTAAATTCTCACGTTTCGAATGCAACACAAGCAATCGTCATCAGGTGTGAAATCCACGGCAAGAAAATTTGAAAAAAGTGTCGGTTGTTTTTCCTAACTTTTTTCAAATGTTCTTGCTGTGGACTTCACACCTGATGACGCTCGCTGCTTGTGTTGCAGTGGAAACGTCGTGAGAATTTTTATTGTTTTATATTAATATTATTTTATTATTTCCCTTCTACGTGACTTCACCGAAAGAACCAAGAATATGAATCCCTGCAGTCACGAAAGCTTTAAATCGAGAATTATTTTATTATGTTTTATTTTTATTATTTTATTATTTCCCTTCTACGTGACTTTACCGAAAGAACCAAGAAGATGAATCCCTGCAGTCACGAAAGCTTTAAATCGAGAATTATTTTATTATGTTTTATTTTTATTATCTTGTTATTTCCCTTCTACGTGACTTTACCGAAAGAACCAAAAATATGAATCCCTGCAGTCATGAAAGCTTTCAATCGAAATGTAGCGTACCTTACATTTTCGGTGACTGGGCGAGGTGTTTCAAGGGGCATTGACACAGGCGGCTTGGCCTACGCACGGCACGGCTGAAAGTAGCGCGCGTCAGCTGGAGATGTGGACGTCACCTTCACCCACTGGAGATGTCAACGCAGCAACACGGATTGACCCCTGCGGTTGGCCTGGAACCCTGCTTGTTCACTGTGATCTCATGCCTGCCCTGTCTCGCTTTTTTCCGCCTTTTGCAGTGCTTCAGTCACGAGGATCTGGAATTTAGCCTTCTGATCGCCATTCCTACTTTTGAAGTCGTGTTAGTTTGTTTGATGGTTCCACTTTGGAATGTTTTGCCCGTTCTTTTTTGTTGTGAAATTCTGCACGCCTTTCTCATCGCAACTGCACACTTTTGTTTGTTAGCAAATGTACAATTCATCTTTTTGGTTCTTTCGGCAAAGTCACGTAGAAGGGAAGTAATAAAATAATAACAATAAAACGTAATAAAATAATTCTCAAGACGTTTTTTATTACTTCCCTTCTACGTGACTTTACCGAAAGAACCAAGAAGATGAATCCCTGCAGTCACGAAAGCTTGAAATCGAAATGTACAATTGTTGTGAGCCTCTTTTCTCAGTTTACCATCCGCGCTAATAACGCCACCCTGCTGCTCTGCCATGCAGTATGCGATGTGATGACAATAACACACGTGCAGCGCTACAGAAGTTCACACTGTTTACCGTTTGGCTGTGGGAGTTTTACCACGTTACGAATTTCAATGCTGTGGGGTTTTTTTCCTCTGCATATCAGGCCATTGTCTAGTAAGAATGAATCTACGAGTATTTAATGACTACGAGATGCTCATTGAGAAGGGTGCAACGAGCTCTAATGTCGGTGACGTCATATTTGAGGGGGGGGGTCTGACTTTTTGTGACGCCGTGTGACGATGGAGGGGGGGGGGTTCTTTACGGTGCGTGGAGAAACATCGCCGTGGTTATTTTAATTAACGGAACGAGAATGTTCAACGGTTTCAAAGCCACGGAATAAAATTGCGCGTCAGCTGTTTGTCGGTGGGTGCCTGCGTCGTGTTCTCTGTGGGCAATGAAGCGTTCGGTCTACGCACGACGTCTTAAAAACATCTTCTTGGTTCTTTCGGTAAAGTCACGTAGAAGGGAAATAATAAAATAATAATAAAACATAATAAAATAATAAACATGAAACATAATAAAATAATAAAAATAAACATAACATTTCGATTTAAAGCTTTCGTGACTGCAGGGATTCATCTTGGTTCTTTCGGTAAAGTCACGTAGAATGGAGATAATAAAATAATAAAAATTAAACATAATAAAATAATTCTCACGACGTTTCGGCCACAACACAAGCAGCCGTCCTCAGGTGATGAACAGCGTCTTAGAGTAGCGGCATCTCTTCAGCAAACTCCGGGATAAGGAGGCTCAGCTAATCGAGTCTCTCACCTTTCTGAAGAGATGCCGCCACTCTAAGACCTGTTCTTCACCTGAGGACGGCTGCTTGCGTTGTGGCTGAAACGTCGCGATAATTATATATTATTATTTTATTATTTCCCTTCTACGTGACTTCACCGAAAGAACCAAAAAGATGAATCCCTGCAGTCACGAAAGCGTTAAATCGAAATTTAGTCTTAAAAACACTGAACATTCCCCTCGAAAACAAACGCTTTCACGACACCATATCAAGCTTCCATAAGAAGAATACAAACTCCCTAAATTTTGTTTTTAATAATGCAATGACCACACTGGGAAGACTGAAACAATAAAAACTGTCTTTCTTTAGACACAAACATTGTTTCCCAGCTACGCTCCATTTAGAGTTGGTAATGGTTACCATAATGTCTTAATTTGATGACTGCGATATTGTTTATCATTGTGCCTCTGTAGAGGTGTAATTGTGCATGGCCACGGATGTAGAGGTGTAATTGTGCATGGCCACGGATGGCTAACAAACACAAGGGGCGGGGTTAGGGCCGTACACAGGGGAGGTGCTCACACCGACGTCCGCACCTGCATCCCCCACGGGCCCCTCCCGGGGGCCGAGTCCTATAAAAGGTGGTGAGCCGGAGGGCTCGAGGTGGAGATCAGCTTTAACCAGCGAAGACTGAAGACCAGCTAGAATAGGCCCCGGAGCTCCCCTGGCTCGCTGTCCTTATCAGGGCCGACCAGGGCAAGCCGGTGGCGTGGCCCCGAGAGCCCAGACTGACGAGCCGGTCTGGAGACTCAGGGTGCCGGGATCCCAGCTTGACCAGGGCTGGGATAGGTAGCCTCCCCTAGCTCCGTAGTGGAGGACTTGGGCGTAGGTTAGCGGGGTTAGATGTTGTGTATCCCTGTAGCCGAGTGAAGGGGACGATACCCCCTTAAGTACTGTGTGTACCCGTTACTGTGCACAAGTTGGTGTAATAAATAAGTGTGCCTCCGACCCTGTCGTCAAGCCTCCTAAAGACTTACTACACCTCCAATACATCGTTCATTAAGCTCAACCCTATATATCATTCTGCTCTAAGATTTCCTCTGGACGCCTCTTACAAAACGCAACACTGCAACCTGTACAAAGAAGCAGGGCTAACGTCCCTTCAAGATCGCAATCATTAATCAGGCCTTGTTCATTCGCAATGTCCTTTGTGTAACGGTGTAAACACTGCAGGAGACGAGTTGACGGAGGCAACACGTATTTATTATAACACCCTACAGAAACAGTCATCTATACAGCCTAGGAACACAGCCTACGGCTACGCGTGCCTGACACCGGCTACGCTCTCAGCTCCTCCGGCTATGTAACTCCTAGAGGCTATCTGACCCGACCTAGCCAGGGTACGGGTCCCAACCACTGGCCCATCAAGCCGGCCCTGACAAGGACTTCGGGAACCGTGAGTACCCAGGGTCTCACCACTGAGCCACACAGAGTCCCGGCCCTGACAAGGATGTGGGGCAAGGGGGTCCCAGGGTCCTATCTAGCTTGCTCCGTCTTCATTCTTCACTGGCTCCAACGACTCCCCGAACTCTCTCGCGCACCGCCCTATATACCCCCCCCCCCCCGAGGGGCGGGGCTGTATGCGGACGTCGACGTAGCCACCCCACGCACGGACCGTGATGTAGACACCGGCTACGCGATGGCTCGCTACACCCCGGTACGTACCACCTCTACATTTGTAACAATTCAGAAGAATATTGTTGCATCTGCCGACACCAACGGACGGCAGACCTAACCTGAGGAGCTCATCATTCCTTCTGTTCAATGTTCCTACGCGCAAAACAAGTCTGGGTTTTTTCAGCGGCTTATTTTCTGGTACAATATTGCCATGCGACTTGATTTACAGTCACAGCACCACTGTCGCTCACCTGGGGGCTTGCAGGCGACGTTGTTGCTGCCGCTTCTGCCCCAACACGCAGTGCACACCACGCAGTGCACACTACGCAGTGCACACCACGAATGGCCCCAACGTAAGCAACGCCACGCAGATGAGACCTGATGAAGGGGCGCTTAGTCATGGCGACTGTCTGCTCTGCTGACGAGGAGCGGCCTGGGGGTAAGGGGGCGTCATGAGAGCAGAGGAAAATACAGCAGCAGCGAACATTATGATGAGGGTGAGCGGTTGAGGGAGATTGGTGAGTGGTGAAGTGTTAAGGGTGAATGGTGAGGGTGACTGGGTTTAGTAGTGAGTGGTGAGGGGTGAGTGGTGAGGAGGAGTGGTGAGGGTGAGTTGTGTGAGTGGTGGACGGGGAGTGGATGAGTACAGTCAATATGCACTGGCTGTAATCATAGTATGTACCACCACAGCTCAGTATGCACTGCTGTAATCATAGAAGCTACCACCACAGTATGCACTGCTGTAATCATAGCAGGTACAACCACAGTCAGTGTGCACTGCTGTCATCATAGCAGGTACCACCACAGTCAGTATGCACTGCTGTCATCATAGCAGGTACCACTACAACATGCACTGCTGTCATCATAGCAGGTACCACCACTACAGTATGTACAGAGAGAGAGATGGGGAGAGAGATGGGGGGAGAGAGACAGTCATATCAGTCAGCCAACCCGTGGCACCTGCTGGGTCTGCCCCGTGACCTCCTGGTG